GAGATTACATAGTAATATATTAATTTGTTATTACGAAATTCTATACTTTTTTCTATAGTACATTGAATACTGTTATAAAATATAAATCTTTGGGGCTATGAAACATCAGGATCAAATATGCTTGATACTGCTTGAAAACGCTCAATTTTAACCAAGTAAGGGATAAGTGCATTACGTAAAAAGCCGGTAACGATAAGATGAAAAGTGTTAATGAAATGAACATATAACTTCAATAAAAAATAACAGAAAGGTTATGCAAATAAAGTTTTATTAATGGGATCGTTATATTTTCAGCCAATTAGATTTTCTTTAGACTGAGAAATTAAAAAAAGAAACTTAGCATACTGGTTTGTCCTTGGTGGTGGTGATGGGGGAGGTGGGTGATTATAAATAAAAAGAAATTCATGTAGTTATAAATCATTACCTCATTGGCCCCACTGAACAGAGGTTCTCCTGTATGCATTTCAACTAAAATACATCCTAGACTCCACATGTCTATCGCAAGGTCGTAAGGTATTCCTAACAAGACTTCAGGAGATCGATAAAACCTAGATTGAATATACTGGTATATCTGCAAATGGGAAAGAGTGAAAATTAGTGTGAAGACGTGTGACGATATCTAATGAAGACGTTGTTGGATCACTCACTCTTTGTCCAAGCTGACACGAACTACCGAAGTCCACTATTTTTATCGCACTTCGTTTGGGATTGCACAAAAGTATGTTTTCGGGTTTCAGATCACAGTGAATGATGTTCAATTCCGGTGTAGACAGGAACAAAAGGGCAGTACACAGTTGCTGTGCAAACTTTCTCGTTAAGTTCAACGACACTCCTCGAAAATTCGTATTTCTAAGTAGATCATATAGATTATACGATAACAGTTCGAATACCAGACATAAGTGATTCCGCCACATAAAATGCCTTTTCAGCTTAACTGCAATTGAAAATCGTTTCATAAGATAGTTTTGCTTAAGGCATAATATGAGTTATATATGTGAGTTGGCAATTTTTTGTGTCAGAAACAGACCTATATAATATTTGTTATCGGTATCCGCCCTGTTCATCATTTCCAATAGCCTCACTTCGATTTGCGCTTGATTTAGAAAAGGTTTTTTATTCTTGATAATTTTTATTGCCACTTGCGTTTGTTCTTCATGATCAAACGCTTTTACTACTTGGCCGAAACTGCCTTTACCTGCAAATTACATGTATATATAATAATCACATTTTACATGCGAGATCTCAAGATAATTTGTTAAATTATTTTCAAACTGTGAATTTTATGTATTTATATTATTTATACATTATTTACTGTTTTATATTCTTCTATAAATACTTTATTTATTTATTATTTATG